CACACACGCGCGCATACATGCACAAAAAGCATACACGCATACACACATACACACACATAATATACCTACATACACACATACACACCCACGCACACACATACACGCTAACACAAACACACATACACACCCACTCGCACACACACATACATACACACAAACACTCACACACACACTCACTCACACACATATATACACAGAAACACATACACTCACACACACACGCCGGTGACTTCACCTGTCTGCCCATCAGTCTGTCTGCCTGCCTGCCTGTCTGTCTGTCTGCCACCTACATACTTAAATAGTCCTCTGGTAAATCAATCTGTCCATCTGTCCATCTGCCTGACTGTCAATCTGTCTGTCTGTCTGTCAGTCTGTCTGTCTATCTGTCTGCCACCCACATACATAAATGGTCGCTTTTAAGCACAATTGGGGGCTCTCCCGAAAAATGCTGTTTCGAGAAAATCGAAGTTAAAATTTTTGGACCCTTGTTCAATTTCTTCCAAAAAAAAGGAGAATTTTCTCTATAACGAAACAAATATATTATACTCCAATGAAACCAAACTTCTCCTATACGTAGGGCAATGCCCACTTTTGGTTAGGGTCAAGATTTCTGGAAACCCCAGACATCTGGGTTAGCCCGCTTGTCCTTAAAAGCGACCAAACAGCCCTCTGGTAAATCAGTCCATCTGCAGACCCCTCGCCCAAAGCAGCTCCGTCTGTCTGTCTGTCTGTCTGTCTGTCAGTCTGTCTGTCAGTCTGCCACCCACATACATAAATAGCCCTGTGGTAAATCAGTCCATCTGCAGACCCTTCGCTCAAAGCCGCTCTGTAATTGAACCGGAAGTGACCAAGGGAAACAGCAAAGATGGATGACATCCTTCTTCCGCTCATTTCCCACTCTCCATGTACATGTCTCTCTGTCTCTCTGTCTCTCTCTGTATCTGTCTCTCTCTGTATCTGTCTCTCTCTCTCTCTCTCTCTGTCCCTTTGTGTCTCTCTGTCTCTCTCTCTCTCCCCCTCTCTCTCTCTATCTCTCTTTGTCTCTGTCTCTGTCTGTCTCTGTCTCTCTCTCCGTCTATCTGTGTCTCTCTTTGTTTCTCTCTCTCTCTCTCTCTCTCTCTCTCTCTCTCTCTCACACACACACACACACACACACAGACACACACACTCACAAACACACACACTCAATACTCTCTCTCTCTCTCTGTTTCTCTCTCACACACACAAACACAAACGCACAAACAAACCCA